TTCTCTTGTTTTTTTCCAAAGGTAGGCTAATATGGATATTTTGTTTGATGCTTAACTTCGTATTCATTTTTTTTCTTAATAACAATTGATAGATTTACATTACAAAAAGAAAATAAAATAAAATACACAAAAATATATCAGCATAGAATATATATCTAAAGGTTGGGGTCAACGGCACACCTTCGATCTCGGTTAGACAAAAAACTAGCATGATGATGTTGACGGAATGATTTCATGACGACATCTCCCAAGTCGATCTCCACCTTGACTATACCGCAAACCATTTTTACACACCTATCAACCTTTTTTTGGTCCTTTTAATTTTACCCTCAAGTGGCTATGCGTTTCTCTTCCTAAGGGTCCCTATTTATAATAAGGAAAGAAAGTTCTAGAGAATGAATGGGAAGTGAAGGGTTGCACAATAAACTAAATAATTTAGTAAATTATATTATATAATACTACCTCCGTCCCGCTATATTCGTCCACTTTTGACTTTTGGAACTGTTCATCTAAGCACTTTGACTCATCAAATTCTCTCAATGTGTAAACCTAAATATAGTCATGTGTGATCTTGTTTGATTTGTCTTAACATATAGATTATTAATATATAATTTCTATAATTTTTTAATATACAAATTACAAGATAAAATGGATTAAAAAAGTGTATTGGATGGTGTGTAAAAATGAAAGTGGACAAATACTCTGGGACGGAGGAAGTATATTATTACTAATGTAATAATTGTTGAAGTAAATTTTGTAACCCTATTGTTAAAGACGTGATTTTGAGTGGGAAATCCAAGGGTTTCCTGCTTTGTTTGTTTATCATTATGTGTCTGATTTCCACAATTTCATTTATTAAATATTCCCAGCAAAATATAAAACTTATACCGTTAAGTTACATATTTTTCACACATCATTTTAACATAATTTGTTTGTCAAGGAAATAGGTTCACTTGAACAAACTATATTATTCAGATAGTAGAGAACAAAAACTAATTTTATTTCCCTTCACTTTATTCTATTATTTTTTTCATCTCCACTGGTAATTAATCATTCCAACTTGACAATTTTTAAATAAATAAAAGTAACATTTTTTAAATAATAATCATTTATTTGTACTAGAAAGTTAAAATTTTCCAGACCGGTTTTTAGGGAGTTACAATAACCTTCATAACTTCTTCACTTCTCCAATATTCATCATCTTGACTAAAAGTCCATTCCTTTTCTCCTTCTCTTGTACTTTCTTTCTCCTCTTCTTTTACATTCTCTTTTGAATAACCATCCAACAAATTATAAACCCTATCTACAAGCATTTTCACTGCTTCATCATCTGGCAACACTTGATCGAACAACTGCTCGAAACTTCTCATCAAATGTAGATATTGCTTCTGCCAAATTCTTTGTGGCCGAAGCATATACTTTTATAACATCCTGCAATAAATTGCATTTTACATCATTTTTACCATGTTCACAAATTAATATTTTTTTATGAAATGAACATTACTATAACCTTAACATTTTTTCTTTCTGAACATGTAATCCATCTTGATTTCCACCATCATTTTTGTTTGTCTCACTTTCTTTGTTGAGATTTTGACTTGTCAGTTCAACTTTTTCAGCAACAAATCGATGTACCCGTAACCAAATCCTCCGCTCTTTTGTTCAGCCCTTTCTTGTTCACACAGTAGTCTTGCGTTCCACCCAACGAAAGAGGGAAACTACCTTTGAACTCTTCTGCTTTTGAAAATGACATTGTGTCAACGTAGAAAATCTGATTATAATTTCATCAAATAAATGTGTTGATACAACGCACAAAAAATATATAAACATTTCTGAAAACAAATATAAAAGTTAGAACTTACAATTAAAAACAGCAATGGCCCTCCAAAGAATATGATTTTGTTGGCTTTCCAATAATCTGTTGCCTCTATCAAGCTCTCCAAGGTATATAAACACCAGTTAAGGTTTTTTTTATTTCGGACACGTTTACTAAAGCATTCACAATTTTATGCGCTGCTGAACAATTCTACTTCCCTTCAATTAGAAAAATGACAATCAATACCATTAATTAAATTTCTTTTGAACATTTCTCCTCCTCCCTTATTCTCTTAAACACATTTTCTCACATCTGCTATTTTAAATGTCCCTTTCTGAACTGGAAATTGTAACTTCCAAGCTCTCATCACTTCTCTTACTTCTTCAGATTTCTCTTCATTTTTTTCATCACACTTCCTCCCCCCATTGGAAATCCAATGGTGCTATGAATGGGAGTCTCATCAATGTGAATCTCTTTTTTACCCGGGAACTACAACGAAACATTTGTTGTATCAAAATTTTCCACCAGCCTATAACCTAACTGCAGAGGCAGAGGAAGATGCGTGACATCCAACTGTAACAACCTACCAAACCCCATTTCCCTAACATTCTTTTTTTGTTCTTCACTAATATTTTTAAACACTTGAGTTATTGTTTTTGGTGACATCCTTGCCTTTATGGACTTCACACCAATCTTATTCAAGTCTCCTTCTTCTCCCACCAGCTGCTTCTTTCTTCCTTTATTTTTCTCTCTCCATCTTTTTGTATTTCATCTTACCTTTTCTTTCTACTGTTCCATCTTTCTTCTTCCTAGCACATTCTTCCTCTTCACTACACCCTTTTTCAGTGTTTACTTCATTTTCACCATTTCCTTGATGAGTGTTTAGCTCATCTTCCATCCTCTCTCCTTTGCTCAGTGTTTGCTTCGATCTCAACTTGTGCCATTAAAAACTTCTCACCGTTAAATTGGTCAATGTTTTCAATGCTCAGCAGTTCATCTTCTTGTGAAATTGGATCTTCTTAAGCTTGATTGTTTTCATGCTAAGCATTTTTTCCCGGTATTCCTTTCTTTCTCTTTGCATTTTTCTGCCAAACTTGGGTTCCTTCTCAGTCCCTTTCCTTTTCCTCATATTTACTTTAGTAAAAATATTTGGTTCTTCACGTAGTAGAGGGATTTTCGTCATGGCTTTTTTACTGCATAATTTTCATGCACACATTTCAATAAAATTTTTAGCTACACAATAACGATAATTGAGTACTATCATGTAACAGGAGTACCAGCAGTTATGAGGATGTTCATATTCTTATCGAGTGCACACACAAAATGTATAAACTTGAGCTTTAAGTTGTCTATACAAAATGAGAATGATCATATTCAGTACTTAAAGTATAATTGAGTACCAGAATAAGTCATAATGTACAGTGCAAAACATGAGAATGATCATATTACAATCTCAATATGAATGAACTTTACTATCACAAACATAACATGCACCTATTGTGCATACTACAAATGAGGACCATTATAGATTAGAATGAGTGATAACACATACAAGAATGGACATAATTCAATCCGCTACTTGAATCCAAAGCACACCAAATTGGTTACTAGCACACTATCCAGAATGAAACTCTTTTATTTCCAACATGAATGGATTTACTATCCTACTTTTTATAAACAAAGTGAATCCAAACAACCATAACATCTATCCAATGCCCAAACCATATATGAGAACTATTATATATGACAATCAGTACCAATAGATTTGAGGAGCACCAGTAGTTATGAGAATTATCATATTCTTATTCACTACAAACATGAATAAACTTGGGTTCTAAATTCTCCATGCTCAGAGAGTATAATTGAGTACGAATATAAATCATAATGTGTTCTACCAAACAGGACAATGATTATATTACAACAGTATTGAGAATTATCATATTCTTATTCAATACAAATATGAATAAACCTGCGTTTTAAATTCTCCATGCTTAGAGAGTATAAATGAGTACGAGTATGAATCATAATGTGTTTTACCAAATAAGACAATGATTATATTACAACCCCTATATGAATGAACTTTACTACTGGACCCATAAAAATGAGTACCAGTATACATGACAATGCGTTATGCCAAATACTAGAATGTACATAATTCAATCTGTTACTTGAATGAACATGCTATGTGACATTTTCTATGGCCCATTCGAGAATGAACTTAACAACTCTCTAAAATACAAACGAGTACCATTATATATGAGAATGAGTATAAGCGCGTACCAAATTGCTAGCTTACACTTCAATGCGAGAATGAGTATAATAACAGATGAAATTGCTATGAAGCTGAACACGACTTTGGTTTAAAAATATTCCATTTAGGGTTTGAGATCTTTCCGGTTGAGATTTGATAAATTCGGAATTTAGAGAAGAAATTAGACAGTAATAGAAGTAAAAATCTCGTACCTCAACAAAGCAAAAGCTTCTGCAATTTTTTCCTTCTGCATGGTCATCTTACTGCGCAGTGATGTTGTGCATATAATAGCTTCAAGCACAGTGATGTTGTGCTGCAAACGCTTCCAATTCGATTCTAGAGAAGAATTTGAATTTCGAAACTGGGGATGAATTGGAAAGTTTTCTGTTGTGAAATCGCGGGTATTGGCAAATGAAAATGTTTGGGCTTGATTGGGAAATGTGCTTTTGCGTTTAATTGGTTAAGTGGGCCGGCTGTACCTAATTTTTGGTACAGTCGGATGTACCGTATACGCACTCCTATTAGTTTTGTATAAAATCTTTTGTTTTTAAATTTATATACCAATATATATTCTACCTGTTTAAAGCATATTTTGTCACTATTAGGAGTATTAGAATACTAAAATAAATACAATTATATTTATGGAATGCAAACTCTAAAAGACTGCATACGATTAATTTCTCCCACCTAGACAATTCCGTTCTCATGCTCTCCTATGAGAGATGCTCTAAGAAAGATTAATTGATTGATTGATTTTTTCGATTCAATTTACAAAGTGAAAATAAAATAAAACCTAAACAATAACATACTCTTTCCATTTGAGTGTCCTTGTCTTGTTTGATTTTTTTGCGTCAAATATGATAAAGTTTAAGCTTTAATTTAAAAATAGTAATGTATATTAATATAAAAATGAATTTGTTAGATTTATCTTGTTACAAACTATCTAAATTTTATTTCATCCTACTAATATGCAATGCAAATTAAAAATAATTAATGTTCAAAGTTTCTTTAATTTGACCCTAAAATGTCAAAATGGGGCGAGTCAGTAATTTTTACATGGTTTTTGTGACTTTCGATTCGGTTTTCTATGTTTCATCCCAGCCCTACTCTTATCCACTCCCAAACACCATAAGTGGTTTGAGACTTCAAACAGATAGTGTGGGAGGAACAGTAATGGGTGCTTTACAGTGCTTCCCGGCGCCCTCAGCAAAGCCATGCTCTGCTATTTCGAAGAAAGGCCCACATATTGGGTTCTCCCTCTTCTCATCCAAGCCGTCCGTTCAACTCTCACCACCCCTCATCCGGACCCACGGGATGACCCACGCCCGCTTCCAATGTAAGGCAGCGGCTATCCCCGCCGAGCAGCAGTGGATGTTTGACGAGACCGAGTTCAAAGGGCCGGTAAATTCCCTGAATTCCACTCTTTTTTAGGATCACCATTTTTAGTCTAAGAAATCATATTCGGAGGTCAAAAACTGAAATTCTTCTGATTTTAATTGTGGAGCTTATATACTCCGTTATTGCATCGGATATTTTCCAGTGGAGGTGTAACATAAGTGAAACGGGGGTGGTTTACATACAACCGAGGCAAAGTGGTTTATGATTGAATCTCAGAGGCATTCTTATCATTTGGTAGATCCAAGTCCATGGCCTATTTCGGGTTCACTCGGTGCTTTGGCAACAACCGTAGGAGGTGTGATGTACACTAGATAGGGCATAATGACATGAGTTCATATGTGTTATGAGAAATAGAAATTGCGTTTGTTAAAGACGAAATAAAGGGTTTTTTGTGTGTTGGAGAAGTCAGTGATATTTGGTTAAGTTAATTAGTTGCCTAGTAGCATCACCATCATCATGAATAATTTAATCCCAACTATGCTTTAGTTTGTGGCATATACTCTACTCATAATGTCAATTAATTGATTGTCTTATACTCCCCCTGTCCCAAATTAATGTTCTTGATTGTGTTTGGCACAAACTTTAGAAAAAGTGAAATTGTGTGGTTGGAAGTGATCCAGAAGAGAGAAATATTTGAGTCACAGAAAACTTTCCAAAAAAAGAAACATGAATCTTTATTTGGGAAAGGAAAATAAGAATATTAATTTGGGACAAAGGTGAGAGAAAAATATCAAATCTGGAGTATGTAAACAAAGTGTTTTTTATTGTGGTACTGCTATCCTGAATTATGTGTCCATACATATAAATAGAGGACTAACCTACACAACTATTGCAAACAAACACAACAGTTGCTAACCAACACAACTGTCAACAAAACTACCTAACTGCTCCTTTTTTTAAATATAAACTAACTTCTAGACTGGAATTAACCAACATTCACCCCGTTGATTCTGGTCCTCATTCCTGGCAAATCTTCAATGCCCATCAATTGCCTCATCTCGATAAACTTGACCCTCGGTAATGCTTTATTCAAGATATCAGCTTTCTTCTCGTCACCACTTACATGCTCAATCCTTACTAGCTCTTTCTCAACACATTCACGGATAAAATGATACCGAGTGTCAAAATGCTTACTTCTCCCATGGAACACTGGATTCTTCATTAACATGATCGCAGTCTTGCTATCCACGTGAATTGTTATGGGTTCCATGCTTTGACCAGTTGTTTCTTCAAGCAAACCTTTAAACCAGACTGCTTGACATGCGGTTTCCGTTGCTGCCATGAACTCAGCTTCACATGAAGATAGTGCAACCGTAATAGAAAATCATCCCAGTTGTACTCTTTCCATCTGCCCGATGAGTCGTGTGTGAGCTGTCACTATAACCAACCAAATTTGAATTGCCATTCCTCCTGTAACAAAACCCATACTTGATTGTACCCTTCACATATCGCAGCACCTGTTTTACAACTTGCATATGTGATGTTTTTGGTGACTCAATGAATCGACTGGTTATTCCAATTGCATAACTGATATCTGGCCTTGTATGGGTTAAATATTGAAGACACCCAATATTCCTTCGGTACTTAGTTACATCAACACTCGAGCTCCTCATTTTTTCCAAGATTGAGACCTGGATCCATAGGAAACTTTGCAGGATTACACTCCCACAAAGTTGCATTTTTTAAAACCTTTGCTGCATATCCTATTTGCTTCAAAGTAATGGTAGCTTTGTCCTGATTCACCTCTATTCCCAAACAGTATGTTAGAAGCCCCAAATCACTCATTTCAAAACAATTTTTTCATTTGCCTTTTGAACCCAACAATCTCATCCTTGCATAGACCTGTGATGATTAGATCATCAACGTATACCCCAACTATTAATGGTCCATTCCTCGTGGTTCTTATGTATACAACATGTTCACGTGGACAACACTTGAAACCAAGTTGTTGTAGAGTTGCATCTAGCTTTTAATTCCTGGCTCTTGGGGCTTGCTTCAGGCCATATAAAGCTTTTACCAGTTTGTACACGAGAAGTTCCTTGCCCGGCTTCTCGAACCCCTCGGGTTGTGATAAATATACATCCTCCTTTAAGTCTCCATGTAGGAGAGCCGTCTTCATATGAGATGGTGAACTTCCCACCCATGTCGTGCAGCTAGGGATAGAAGCAAACAGACTTTTTCCATCCGGGCAATTGGAGCAATCACGTCATCGTAGTCAATACCATGTTTTTGGACATACCCCTTTGCAACGAGTCTCGCTTTGTAGCAAATTATATTATCTTTGGCGTTCCTTTTGGCTTTATAAACCCACTTCAGACCAATCGGTTTAACTCCTTTAGGGAGTTCAACCAATTTCCAGGTTCCATTCCGTTCAATAGAGTCTAACTCGTCTTGCATTGCAGCTATCCGTTCTTTTCTATCTTTGGCTTCATTAAAGGTATTTGGTTCTTCATTGGATAATAATAGTTCTGCGTCATCAAAGTGAGGTGGATTGAAAGCCTTCTCTTGCATTGGTTGAGTTCTTGAATACACATCATTTAGCAGGTGAAATCCTCGAGGGGGTGTATCATCATAATGTGAACTTGAAATAGGACTCGCACCTAATGTACTAAGATTTTCAAACTCATGCGGGCTGTTTGGAACATTTAGTGGGCTGATAAGAGTGGTTGGAATCGAAGCAGGCGAGTTTGGGCTAGACAATGAACAATTCTCCCGTGGGCTAACATTCACACCCATTCTGTACGACTGGAGAAGCCAGGTATTCGGATTGATTGGGCGAGGTATTGAGTGGGCTGCCATCATTCTGAGTCAATCCTTGACCAGTCACACAAGCTTCATTTTCAACAACAAATTCAACCTGCCTTTCATTTCCCTTTGTCTCCAAATTTTAGCCCAGTCCCACGATTTGTTTTCTTCAAATTGGACATCCCTGCTAACACAACCTTTTTGTCTTTGGGTTGTAAAGCCGGTATGCTTTGCTTCCTGGTTCACTCCCGAGATCTACCATTGACTCGCTCCTGTGTGCCACCTTTGTTAATTTGGGTGTTGGCACTTTGACATGGGCCATACATCCAAACATCTTTAGGTGTTCCAAATTGGTCTTCCGTCCTCTCAGGGGTTTCATATGGGGTCTTCTTTTCCAAAGATTTTGTCGGAGTTCAGTTCAAGATGTAGACAGCGTTTCGTACACCTTCTCCCCACAACCATAGGGGTAAATTCATGGCCTTCAACATAGATCTTGCAGTTCTAAGAACAGTTTGGTTTCGCCGTTCAACCACACCATTCTGTTGTGGCGTATATGGTGCAATTAAATACCTATTTATACCTTCTTCATTGCAAAGTTGTTCAAAGTTGGTAGAGACAAACTCACCTCCACGATTAGTTCTGAATGCTTTCACCTTGTAACCACTTTCCAATTCAACAAACTTCTTGAACTTGTTGAATGCCTCGATGCTTGGTCACATGAATCTGCTGAAATCATCAACTAGCAATAGAAAGCTAGGATGCACGGTTCGCCATTTCACTGCCGCTCTGCGCGGCGGAATCGTTGCGGGGACGGATTCGCCTATGGGGACGGCAGCGGACGATTCCTAAATGTCTTGAAGGATCGGGGATCGTCGCTGACTTCAAGACACAAGGAATCGGCTAGCAGGGGGCGTACCGGGCGCGTATATACTCTTCAACCCTTGACCTCGACACACTTTTTAGCGGAGTAATTTTTTTTAGGCGTAGTATCTGACGGAGATTAGGATTTAGGTTTATTTCGTTCAAATACTTTGATAGAAATTAGGAAACCTATTTTGTACTCCGTATAAATTATACACAAAATTGACCTTCCCTTTGACTGCCTTCTACTAATCTAACAGGTATTATCGCACAACATGATTTTTTAACAATAATTTGTTCTGTATTTTTGTTTCAGTTTTTTAGAGAATAATTTGTTGATTTTGTTCTGTACGCAGACTTTAAAAATACTGTGTATGGTTTTGAATAATTTTTGTCAAACTTTTGAATTAAGTATTGTTTTTACATTTACAAATCTATATTTAGCGGAGAATTTAATTATTTTTTGTTGCCGAATCCTTGCCGTCCCCGCATCCTGAAATTTTTAAAATTGCCGTTTTCTGAATTCGTCCCCGTCCCCGTATATGTACCCGCAGTGCAACATAGATAGAAAGTACTTGTTCCCAGATGGTGTACTCGGTGTTATAGACCACATAGATCAGCATGTATTAGTTCAAGGGGTTGTTGTGCTCTATAAGAGATTTGGACGGGAATGGAAGACCTCGTTGCTTCCCAACAAGACAAGCTTCAAACAATTGTGACTTGTGATTTATGTTTGGCACACCAATCACCAAGTTTTCTTTTGATAACTTCCTTATAGCATCAAAGTTTAAATGTCCAAGGCGTGCATGCCAAATCCAGGCTGCCTCGTCCATCTTTGCAAGTAAACATGTTGGTGGGACTATATGAAGACGTACCTTATAGAGATAGTTTGGAGACTTTTTCTTTTTCATTAATGTTGCTCTTGATCGCTCATATAGCCAAAGAAAACCATCCTCCATAAGAATTTTGCATCCCACCTCGTCGAGTTGACCCAAACGTAGTATATTATTACACAAGTCCGGAATATAGTACACATTGGTGATGAGCCTCTAGTCACCATTCTTACATTGCAAAAGAATAGACCATCGGCTTTTGATTTCAACTCTTGAACCATCTCCAAACTTCACACGTCCCACTATCTTTTCATCAAGGTTGCTAAAATAACCCCATTCCCCGGTCATGTGATTGCTAGCACCATTATCTAAATACCACGTGCCTTCCTCGTTGTTGTCTTTGGCATATTCACAAGGAAACACTCTCTCCTAATTGAGCATCACCACATTTTGTACATTCTTCACCATTATCAAAGTGGGTTCATCCTCCTCCTTTGCTAGATTAGCTTCATCATCGATTCTTTTAGGAGCCCGACACTCGGCAGAGAAATGACCAAGCTTATCAGAATTATAACACCACAGGTTCCTTCGGTCACGGTTACCACCTTGTTCATCCTGTCTAGGTCTTCGGTTATTATTTGAGGGGTTTCAGCCCCCTCATCCACAACCTCGGCCACGGTGATCACTAAATCCTGTTCCACAACCCCTATGAGCTTGCCTTGACTCGGTTTTCTGTCTTTCTTTCCATTCAAGCCTTGTTAACAACAATTGATATGATGAATCTTTGACTCGTCCACCAGGGGTAGTCCGTTCCTCGTAGACCTTAAGGCTACCAACAGCTTCCTCAAACGCCATAGTGTTCAAGTCTGAATACTGTTCTATTGTGGCACCATTTGGAAGGAACTTGTTTGTGGCAGAATTAAGCAACTTATTTACTTGTTTCTTCTCCTCAATTGTCGATCCAAGTGCCTGAACCTTAGACACAATCTTGCTGATCTTGCTTGCAAAATCATCAATACTCTCACTTTCCTTCATTCTCAACATCTCAAGCTCTCTGTTCAGAGTTTGGATTCGTGCTTGTTTAACGCGATCGGCTCCAAGATAACGCACCCTAAGTGCATCCCGCACGTCCTTGGCCTTTGCATGTCCTGCTACTTGCATCAGAATGTCTTCCAGGGCCCTTGCCTTTTTCTGGATCTTGATGTCCACCTCCGTCGCATCTGGTGGTTCAATGGCATCCCAAATTCCTTGGGCATCCATAAACGACTGCATCTTGATAGCCCAAGACGTATAATTTGTTGTAGCGAGTACAGGACATTGGTACGTTGTCGAGCCTCCATTCTTTAACTGGGGTAACAACAACATCATTTGTTTTTTTAGTAATGATAGCCTCCATCACAAACTATTGTTTTTCAAGGTGTATTGCAAGAAGAGAACTAGTTATCAGATCTGTGTTAGATTTTTTTTCTACCAGGGCTCCGATACCAATTGAGAGAAAAATATCAGATCTGGAGTATATAAACAGAGTGTTTATATTGTGGTACTGCTGTCCAGAATTATGTGTCCATACATATAGATAGAGGACTAACCAACACAACCATTACAAACAAACACAACAGTTGCTAACTAACACATCTGTCAAAAACTGCCAGAACCCTAACTGCTCCTTTTAAAAAAATTAAACTAACTTCTAGATTGGAATTAACCATTAGGGTTTCCGAGCAGTAGAACTAAATTAAAAAAACTCCATATGTGGTATGAATGCATGCATTATCAAGCATGGACAACTCACTTTTTGAGCTTGAAGTCAAGTTTAACATATGCAATTTGCATTTGGTTTCTCAAGACATATTTGAGATGACTCAAGGATCTCTGCATCATCATTGAAGTGTCTTTGGATGTATAAGTTTTATCTTTAGAAATTAGAATATAAATTTTCTTGATAATATTTGCTCATTGCATTTTTCCATGCTCAACTGATATCTTATTTTGCGCCCATTTCTAGTGTTGCTAAAAGAGTCATTTTTGACACTGTTTAGCATCAATAAAAATAGACTAAATCAAAATGACACATTGGATCCACTTCTTGAGTTTTATGAAATTTTGTGTAGTAAATGCAGCATGCATCTAGGGTCTTCTACATATATACAATCTCTCTACTTTTCTAGCGGTAAGATTGAATACCTCTTGACCTCCTTAACCCCAACAACGGATTAGGGGTTATATTGGGATTTGTTTTTGTCGCTAACTGTATATCTTGCTACAGTACAATTGTAATTTATTGGTCTGATTGCAATTGCTTAAATAAATAGACAACCTAATGCTATTAAATTGACTTGGTAGTTGGTACAAAACATTTCTTTTTCCCGATTTCAGGATATTTGGAATAAAACATGGTATCCAAAGGCTGTTGATCATGTGAACACAGCAAAACAGTGGTATATTGTTGATGCCGCTGATAAGAAACTCGGAAGATTGGCATCAACAATTGCGTATTATATTCGAGGAAAGAACCTAGCAACATACACTCCAAGCGTTGATATGGGTTCTTTTGTTGTTGTGGTATGCTAATTGTGTTAAAAGTGTTTCCTTTTTTCCCCCTACATTCAAGGGGTTGCTTGTTGGGTGGCAGATACAACTTTATGTGGGTTTGTGCTGGATGATATGAGTACTATATCATCTTTGTTTATTTTCATTTTCTTTTAAACTTTAGCTGTGGGCTTTGAGCAATGACAATTCGACAACATCCATTTTGTTCATACTAGCTGTGGAACTACCTGAATCTGCACCTTTCCCCATTTACTCTGCTAAAGACTTAAAGGGCTTACTTTGCCAAATATAGTCCTATATTCTTAGTCCCTTAGAACTCAAAAAGACCAAAAGGATAAATAAATAAATAAAGAGCAAAGTAAAGATAAAAAAAACCTTAACCTGACACTTGTCATGTTGACAATGGCATTTATGTCATCATTGTCATGCCAATATCCCTTACATTATAGGTCTAAATTAAAAAAAGATGATAATCAACATATCTCAGAGATACTTTGTCCTGCATGGCTTGGTGGTATCATCTTTGTCATTGGCAGAGCTAACAGGGCCTTACAGACCACTGGCCTGGCCACCCACAGTCGGTCTAGTTACTTCCTTTGTGCCTATATTTTCAAGTACCCACAATGCAAAATTGTGTGAGAAGCTATTCAAAATAGAAGGTCAAATAAATAAGACATGGATTGTTAGAAACTTTGGTTTTTCAATGCACTTTTTTTAAAAAGAAAATCTTATTGAACTTTATATGAGAGAGAAGTTTTCGACTTTTAGTCTGGCCCTACCCCTATGTCGGAATGGCTGTCTTTTTTTTTGTTCCTTTTAAAATGCTTTTTTACTGGGAACGTATGTACTACTCTGGTATTGCATTGAATTTTTTACAATTTGTTTCCACCCTGTACCTCCAAGGTGAATGCTGAGAAGGTAGCTGTGACTGGAAAAAAGAGGACACAAAAGATCTACCGGCGACATTCAGGAAGGCCTGGTGGGATGAAAGAGGAGACTTTTGATCAGCTTCAGAAGAGGATCCCTGAGAGGATCATTGAGCATGCAGTCCGTGGAATGCTTCCGAAAGGAAGGGTGAGTATGTCCCTATGAGTATTTGTATGTGTGTAATTGCAGAATTATATGTTTATAATGCTTCCATCAACTGAGAAGAGCTGTTGGAATCGACATTACCCTAAAAGTTTTAAATAAAACAATTTCCAATAGCTTTATGTTATGCTATATGACTATTAATAAAAGTCAAGGCCAAATATTGACATTTGTTGATATATTTTTTACCATGTTGGTATAGTCTCGATCAAGTTTATGTTGCGGTTTCACGACTGAAAGTAAAGGAGGGATTAAAGATATTAGTTTCACATGATAGTGTTAGCTCCTGCTACTTCACTTAAATAAGACTTTGATATGTTCAATTCCAAATTTATATAGTATAATTTTCATTGGCAAATGTTATATGTTATATCATTTCTTTAATTTTTGATGCCGATGTTAAATTTTGTTGTTCTAATCTTGAATTATATTATTGTGAAGAAAAATTGTAGAATCGAAAAAAATCGTTCTACCCCGTGCTTGGCATGAGGTTAGATGCTAGTTTAAAAAACCCACTGTTGGTCACGACTCCCCCATTATATGGTGCCATTTATGTTATTGCAGCTGGGGAGAAACTTGTTTAACCATCTTAAGGTGTACAAAGGAGCAGAACATCCTCACCAGGCACAGAAGCCAATCGATTTGCCAATACGTGACAAGAACATCTACATGTTGAGTTGATACTGCGAGAAACACTCCTCGGACGTCATTGAAGATGTTTCTTTCTTCTTTAATGTTGATATTGTATTTCTGGCTTTTAACACCCCTATTGTACTTTGTAGGACACGGGCTTTCTTTATTTGTATTTATCAGAATGAGGGTGTTATGGGGAAGATAGCTCTTTCAACTGTTTATTGTCTTTGATCTCTTTTGCAGTGAATGGTTGATGTCCTATTGAGCCTTAGTGAATACTGACTTCTTTTAATTCAGCATAGATTAAATTGTCATGTCACTATAACTGGACCAACTTAGATGGTAAAACCTATGATCAACCATTTTCTTAAATAAAAAATATTTAAGTTTTGGAAATATCATTTGAAGGGCAAGTTGGTCTTGGAATTAATGTCGTACGTGGTGGGATAAATGAATGAGCATGACAATTTTAACTTCATTAAGAGTCACCCTTACCAAAAACAACTCTTGCATGTATTTCACATATCACTTTAGGTGCTGTGATGTTCATTGATTGAGTACAGAAACCTATTTATTCTATATTTTTCCCTTTCCTTTATCCTTGCATCTTTTATTCATTCATTGTATAAATTGAAACAGGACTGAGTGTTATTGAATTAAAAAGTTATCTATAAGGGGTGAGAATAGAGGAAGTTGTTAAGTCATCTATTGAAATGAACAATGGCACGCCGCTATACTACAAACTATAGTGGTCAGTATGGCATCACGGCAACCCAATGGGGAGGGGGGTGGGGGGGCTAGGGCTGGCAAGAGGGAGATGTAATCGGTCCAAAAGGTGGAATCGCCCACCCTAGGCGCCCCCACCCCCTGGCCCGACAGGGATGGTGGAGGAGGTAAATCATGGTGACTCAGTCGGTTAAGAATGCTAGACCCGTGTCCACCGCACACAAGGAGCCTCCTCACCCTTTATGGGATTTTTGAATAGCTCACACTGCCGCTTGCGGGACTCGATCCCTGGTCATCGGTCTAAGAATTGACGTTCTCGACCAACCAAGCTGCCCATGCGGGAGATTTAATTTGGGGTGGGGGGGGGGGGGG